TATGATTATTAGGAATGAAGGAGAAGGAGAAGTCCAGAGAAGTTATTTACGCTTATTTTCCAAAATATTATCAGAGTGTTGGTTGCATCAACCGTATCACCAGTCGACTAGTAATGATCGATTTTCTCAAACGACGGCAGTGACGCCTCCATTTGTTCAATTCGCAAGCCGGCGTGGTCCAACGGATAGTCTCTGCTAGAGGAACGAGAGGCATAGCATCCCTATCGTTTAGAGCTATCGTTAAGGAGCCTTATCATTGAGCTGGCGATCGTTCAGGTACCCGTTTGAGGTCGAGAGCGTTCCATTTAGCAGCTGCTCTGGTCCGAGATAATCACGATTTCGCATAACATTTCCTTTCCACCTGATCATCAGTTCCTTGGCGTACGCAACGTCATCCCTGATCGGTGACGTGACGAAGCTCGTACTCCAAACTTTTTTTTGCCCCTGGATGTATGGAGGAATTCCAAGCATGGCGCCCTCGTTGAATATCGCTAGCTGCATGTTCATACTGCGTTCGTAGAATCAAAGTCTCCAGAGCGTTGTTAAAGCAGGAGGGACAGCAGTGTCAAAAAGATGGGAGCGAAACTGGGAAACATTAGTGGGTTACATCAAATTGAAATAAAAAAATAAGCAATTGAGCAGTATGGACACTTCATCGGTAAAGTCGGGAATAGCTTTCGATTGAGTGATTCGATGGAGGGTAAAGTGTAAGGCTTTTGATGGGCCTTAGCAGACATCGTTCCTGGATTTAATTCTCGGACCATGCGTGTCTAATAGAGGGCCACCTGACGCTCCACCGGTATTCCGCAAGTTTGCTGATTGAATATTTGCCAATAAAAATAGTCTCCGTAAAGAATCAAAATCACAGATTACAAACACCTCGCGGTCTGTTTTTCAACTACATCGTTTCGTTTTATTGTAGTAACATCGCAAAATACAATCATTCACAAAATTAAATTACAAACTAGAAGAACCAATATGTGGACTATTTCCGAATCGGGACAGGATGCCCGTATTGCCCTGAAAGGATTCTGATCACTAGATTTCATACCTGCTACTTTGCTATTTCGACCGGAATGAGCTTTTCAGTTAGATGTATTCACGTACCGTAGCCTAATCCTCCTAGATGACCAATACCCCCATGACGACCACCAAGATAGGAACCTCCTAGTCCTCCATAGGGATTAATGCCACCAATGGAATGTCCACCACCAGAAAATGGTCTTGATCCATACCCGCTACCGTAGCCGCCTCCGTAATGGCCATGATGATGATGATGACCATGGTACTCATGCGAATGTGAATGACTGTGATGATGGTGATAATGGTGACGATGAGGGCCTGAATGAACGCAAGTCTTGGTCATTTCAGAATTCTTTCAGTCGAGAAATCGAAGTAAAGATAATTTGGCTTGCCTCCAAAGTATTGTGAAGAAACTAAGGCAGCCAGGCATAGTAGCACCATTGCAAGCAGAACGTTTCCCATCCTGGAAGGGGTTTTCTTTTGATATATGGAGGAATTATAGGACTAGGAACAAACAATAAATATAAAAATCAAGACAACAAGTACTTCATTTTTCTGGTAAATACCACACAGATGAAAAACGGCTAGGTAATTGTTAGGTGATCACGTCTGGTCGTAAAAGTTTGAAAACAATTTGTTTGGATATTTTAGATCTAGAGGTATTTAGGGTAATTTTAGAAGGATAAAGTGTTTTATTATTCTATGATTATAAGAATATCATCAGGACACTAACATTCGGTATGCGATCCGTTCTGGGGTCAGATCAGAGAGAAGATATCAGACAGTGGCATTTTCCAGCACAAATCCAAGTACAAGGCTGGCGATTCGGCTGCTAACTCTAGGGGCTCACATACTGTAATTACTGGCTGCACCTACATGACACAGGGGGTGCTACTTTTGAGATTAATTTCCCAACCCAAACAGCCGTAGAGGTCGAATGAATAATAGACTTCTAAGAAGATTAGTTATGAGTTACGAGTAGAAACGAATTGGAATCGGATTGAGGAGGAGATGATTGTGGTTCGATTCTTAACAAGAAGATTTAAGCAGGGCGTCAGCGACCATAGAACTGCAGTGGAGACGTGATACACTGATACCATGGGCGAACATATATCCCTTGCAAATCACGTGGGTATCCATCCAGCAACGAATGGGTTATGAGTGATATCATCGGGTCCGATTGTGGTCCCTTCCTATCTAGAGAAATCTAGTTGCCTGCAAGAACATTATATACGGCCCGAGAGATGTTCAGATGCTAAAGGGACAACAAAAAGGGCGGTTTCTGATTGTCAGACTTCTTTGACGAAAGTTCGATCAAAAGAAATGTTGTCATCTCCTTTCATGAAGCAAAAATGACTCACTTGACGGTGGTTGCTTTGGAATCAGGGAGACATTGTCAAGGTTCTATGGAAGAATTCGAAATCAGAATAGAATGGTAGGTAATGGAGGCGAAAAGTTAGTTCAGTGGCTTACAGTATCTGATGAAAACCTCGGTTTTTCAAGGAAACCACGAGCGTCTCACATAAAGTGCATGAGGAAGGTATCAGGTGTTTTTTTTGAACGTGGGTGTCAAGAACAAACTGTATTTTTTTGTTCTACAGTACCCAATATTGAAAACAATTTTTTAGCTTCAATTACATGTTTTGCATACGAGTTGTACCTGATATTCTCAAAATGTGGGGAGCGTCTGAATGTAAACAAGTTGAAAAGTTGAATGGAATTACAGGATAGTTGCGGTAACTGCATACTAGAGAATATTTTTTTACAATTCGCTGAATCAGATTTCTAGTAAAAACAAAAAAGTCAAAAAAGAGCGAAGGCGAAGAGTATCATCTTCTAATTGTAAGATGAAAGATCTTTCCATTGAAGAGGTTGGGAGCTCGATTGTGTCATGTAGAGTGTCGTATGAAAACTTCAGCAATTCACGAATTCTGAATTGCACTTGTAATTACACAGCCCCTTCCCGAGTTCACGGTTATTCTTTCAGAAAGTCCAATCGAATAAAAACGAGTGAGGATGGTGACGAAACCGACGGCACCCCTTCCGGCTACTTTTGCCCCTTTTCCGACTGTCGTCCCTTACCTCCTATATCAACCTTCTCGGTTTTCCTGTACTGTATCGCCTTATTCACTGCAGAGTGAATAATGGTCATTTGACGGAATATGAAGTGTATTCACGCTGCCAATCACTCAATGGTCAACATTTACGAAAAACAGTTTTCAGATTGGGCGCCATATTGTTCAAAATAGGTGCTCACTGAGAAATGTCCGGGAAGGCAGATGCCTCGGACTTCCCGCCAATTGGCTATCAGTCCATACCTGGTCTTCACGCCATTTATACGGTGTCATATCCGGCCAGTTGCCCATCCGACTTGAGCACCATCACCTATCACGGTCACGACAGGTGATAGGTGATGGTGCTCAAGTCGGATGGGCAACTGGTCGGATATGACGCCGTATGGTGGGCAACCGTTGATCATCGATTTCCTCGAGCGGGCGCCAGTAACGTCTCCATTCGTCCCTGTCACAAGCCAGAGTAGTCCAGTGAATCGTCCTCGCTTCAGGGACACGAGGTTCAACATTCCTTTCATTCAGAGCTTTCGTGATGGAGACTGAACATCTCGTTGGCGGCCGTCCTGGAGTTTGTTTGATGTCCCGAGGGATTCAGTCAGTAACCGCCCTGGTCCAACGGTCATCACGAAATCGCATAACGCTGCCGGCCCACCTGATCTTCGATCTCTTGGCGTAGTTAACGGCATCCCTGATCTTCGTTCGATGAGCTCGGAACTCCGATTTCCCTTCTGCACTTGAGTGTATAGGGGAAATTCCGAGCATCGTCCTTCCAAAGCGCGTTGAGAAACGCTGACAGCACGCTCATCCTGCTTTCGTAGAGTCAAAAAGCTCAGCTTTCGTTGAGCACCATATGTGCAACAACGAAGAGCACCGACATGACCTCCCTATATTTGCCTATTCGCACTATATGAAGCATCATATAACCTGTCAAGATGTCCACTCCTCCTTATCCACGTACCCTAGATTATACTATTATGAGAGTAAGCTGCCGATGTAAGTTCCCTTCAGACTATATTCAGTTCAAACATCCTTGGCTTACCTGGTAGTCACCACTCTCCATTATGTTTTTTTTACTGTTTTTTACTTAAGTGCATGTATTCGTGTATCAACGCTTCAACGTACATAGTTCCACTATTGCAATACCGTGGCTCATTCATAATAATCTCCTCTCGCAATGCCACTTGTATTCGCATTCTATGCTTACGTGCTATAACATTTTGCTCATTCTTACAAAAATTCGTCGTCCTCGTCCGTCCTTTGTCTCTGCCCATTTCCAGGCACAGAAGAAGCCTTCATCGTTCGTCTCACGTCAGGTCTAAGGTCCATCAGTTCCGAGTTTTCATTAGACGCTCTCAACATCCCCTCTGGAGCACTAGGGATCCCATCTTTCGCCGAGTCCATGGCTCCATCACCTTTTTGTCTGAAATCACAACATTACCCTTCTACATCAGAAAGGCGTATTTGTCAAACTTTAAATCATAAACATTTAGAAAATCCCTGCTGAGATTTAGAACTATCAGTATTCATCATATACTTAATAGTTGCTTTTCCAAACAAAAAATAACAATTTCAGTATTTATTCAACATTTTACACACTCGAACGTATGTATGTGTTGTGCACACCAGGCGATTCTACGCTGGGCAGATGTTTCGTCTAAGTAATCTCTCATTTGACAGTCTTGTCTCCTGACTGTCTTAACGCTAGGTGACCCTTCACAAAGTTTTACCGAAGAGTCTCCTGCTTCCATTCTAGAACAAATAATCGATATATACAAAAAGACTGCTGTGAAAACAGCTTTGGGATGTTCACTATGAACTATAAATTCGGGTGATATGAGAACATTAATTAGAGATGCGGGAGGGTTGTCACAATATATACACATACAAACTAATCTAATTGATTATGGCCTTACTGACACACTTCTAAATATAGATACAATTACACTACGCAGTAATGGGCCCCATTCAAACATGGGAGTTTGAGAGCGACCATGCGGATCCATAACCAGTCGAAAGGAGTGATGCGTACGATGAGCGGCGGTCAGTGAGGTGACTATTCGGTTCCTGAAAAGCAAACAAGAATTTTTTGGCATTATTATCAAAAATACCCAGAGGAGTGAGGAGGAGTAGCAGTTGGGGGAGTGGTTAGCGAAGGTCCCGCTTCCTTAGTTAGTTGTCTCACCGTACGCCTCCATCTCCGAACTTGGACGGAGGGGATGTTGGACGCTGCGTTCTTTGGGCCAGCGGCAGTCACCCTAACTAGTGTGGAGCTGCTCTAAGATGCTTTAAATTTCCTCTGACCTACCCAGCCTTTCATGCAGTCTCAAGCACTCCCATCTCCTGGAGAGGATTGTGTCGTTTGGTCAACCCTGGAGAGTTATAATGCTGACTCAGGTGAGACCCGATCTGAGCTTCGATATGTGGAGCCATTTATGAAGTAAGGGCGACGGCCCCAACTCTTGCCCAATGAGGGCCACTGATGGGCAAGTCATATGGTAGCTAAGTTTTACTGCCCATGAGAGAAATTGAAGGTTGGTTCGGTTCGACACGTATGTCTATCTGTTCTGTCCAAATTGGTTGCCTTTATTTGTCCCATCTAGTTATTTTTCTCCATTGGAACATCCCCACGTGGATTTTGAACTACATCCCTATTACCGTAAATCTTCTCTACCAACTCACCTTGATAGAGTCGACTTGTAAGCTGAAGGATCCACGTCTAGACACTGATTGAATATCATCATCGAGATCAAGATGATTAAGGGCGAAGATTGGCAGCTGATCCCATGCCATCTCTTCTTGCCACCATCTAAATCAGAACATGGCTGAAAATATGCTACTACACTCAATCAGTAAGTCGAGCGCTTACTTTTCAGCTACGGTGCCTGCAAGGCGAGTTCTGAAAAGGGCATCCATGCGATCGCTTTGTTCTCGGGTGAAGTAATTCTTCCAATCACGGCTACCTCCTTTACGTATGAACTCGCTTTTGTGCCTGAAACTAAATTCACATTCCAGTATGATGCCATCTCATGAACATCTTCAGTATCACTTAGTGAAGAACGAATTGCTCTATATATTCAAATTTTCAAGGAAGACCAAAAATGATTTCTTTTATCGCAACAGGTATTCAATGTGTAGGACCCGAAGCAGTGATGGCGCGGTAACTGAAGTCCCGACCGCGCACAATTCAACTCAATTCATTTTTGACCAATATATCACTTAATGTGGGCAGAGCTGGTGTATGAAGAGGCAAGTGGCGCACCGTTGCAAGCGAGTGGTCCGGGATTTGAGTTCTTCATGGACACCCGCTCAGACCAAGCCCTTTCATCCCTCCACGGTCAGTAAATTGACATCAGTCTCGTCTGGGAGGATAAAANAAAAGCACTCAATCATCATGTGGCCACAGCTTGTCACAGTCACTATGACTTAATGGAAGTCGAACCATCATAAGACATGATGTATAGGCTCAACCCACTTCTTACTTTATCCAAATGTAGTAAATGGTAAGGTGAATCACTGGCCAAAGAGTGTTTAGAGACGGCTATAATTAAGCAGAAATTTCATGATCTTGTTCAGTTGTACTTTATTTTGAAAGTTAAATAGCACGTGATATAATTGTTCTTAATTTCAAGTTTATAAAATTCTAATTCGATGTGTCCTGGCTTTGCAGACAGAATTCCGATAGTACGTCATTTTTTTCATCGTCTGCAGAATCTTTCAATACAAAAATCTCCTCCTGCTTTGTGCAGGCTTCTGGGAACGTGGTTTTTCAGAAGGCTACACACACGACTGGAACCCCTCAATAATGAAGGAGATCTTAGTGTTGCGAACAAGTCGTTTCGTGACTTCTTGGAAATTTTGGAAAGGAAAACATATTTTTTGTTCCCTTTGAGGAGTATTAGGGGTTGCAGGGCCTAGAATTTCCTATACAAAGGAAAAGCGGATGACAAAGGAGATTCAAAGCCTCTCTGGAAGTTCCACATAAAGCTCGTGGGTGACTTCGGCCCTTTGAGTAGGCATATGGAGGATCTTGTGGATACAACCCCAATTTATAGCTCAGAGGCCTCCCTGTTTTCGAGAATGCCCATTCTGCGCCCTGGGATACACTAGGGACTCAGCGCTGGAAAGGGTGAACACACTCCACCTCTCAGTGCTCTACAGTTTCGAACCATTGCCAAGCCAAGAACTCTCCCCAGTGTTTTTGCTTTTTTCTTGAAGCTGCAGTACTTATTGGGCTAGACAGTTCCTGTNAAGGAAAACATATTTTTTGTTCCCTTTGAGGAGTATTAGGGGTTGCAGGGCCTAGAATTTCCTATACAAAGGAAAAGCGGACGACAAAGGAGATTCAAAGCATCTCTGGAAGTTCCACATAAAGCTTGTGGGTGACTTCGGTCCTTTGAGTAGGCATATGGAGAATCTTGTGGATACAACCCCAATTTATAGCTAAGAGGCCTCCCTGTTTTCGAGAATGCCCATTCTACGCCCTGGGATACACTAGGGACTCAGCGCTGGAAAGGGTGAACACACTCTACACACTCTCAGTGCTCTACAGTTTCGAACCATTGCCAAGCCGAGAACTCTCCCCAGTGTTTTTGCTTTTTTATTGAAGCTGCAGTACTTATTGGGCTAGACAGTTCCTGTTGAGGTCAACCCAAGGGTTATACCCATACACTTCAGAGTAATCCCGATAATTTCCCAAATAGTTACAGTGAGTTGATTGGAACCGAGTATAGCGTAGTATGTACTCAACGGATTCACTTAAGCAGTTCATACTCCCTGAACAGGTCGTCTCCGTCACAATCGTGCACCCACCATCCTTGACCAAATTGAATCGACGTGGAGCTAATTGCAATTGACAGCCGTTAGGTATTCACTAGTTTTGAACCGGTTGATATCGGGGGGATTAGAGTTTCACTTAACCATAACACTGTAAACTACCATAACAATAACTAGTAGTTATAGTGAAACGTTTCTAAATATTATCTCTAATAATAACTATGCCGTCTACGCAGTAATCATTATGTCCGATCAAAGTCCTTGCGCGACAAGCTTCATATATCCTCCGCTAATTATTCACTAACTATAGCCTCGATTTTAATCGCGAAGGCTCATCCTCACCTATTATCCCTATATAGAGTTGATCTGAGCGAGACTGGGCCAGTTTCGCTTTGTCAAGGTAGATTTCATTACTAATTTCTTCCGTTTTTAGTTGCACATTGAAGTTCCGCTCCGGTCGTGGGAGCTGCTTCGAACAATTTTCCCATCCCTGACTGGGGTACACGACTCAAGCTTGAAAGTCCCCTACCTAATCTGGAATGAGGAAGAGAACACTAGGCCTGGGAAGGTGCCAATATCCGCTGTATTGATCAGTCTGTGATCCTGAGAAGGGCCACTGACGCATGGCGCATTCCTGGCAAAAATATCAACACCGCCAACGACTTTATTCCATTGGGTGGGTCTGTAACCGATTAATCTTCCCCGGAGGGATGAAAGGTTCAGTTCTCCTGGGCGGATAACGATTCGGGATTCGAACCAGTGATAAAGATGAAAATTTATAACCATCGGTTCTATCTTCGATTCCTTCACTGCGGAGAACTTCCACAAGATCCACTACCGTTCTACCGTAAGACTTGAGAACTCACAATTGCGACTCGGGAAACCAGCGTTTCTGATCCTTCTTCATTGCTTCGATGCCACTGTTTTTTACCACGACTTCTAGCCTTGCCGGATCCTTCACCAGTTTCTCCGCTTCGCCTCCAAGGAACATACCGATCTGAACAGCGACAACTCGTCCACCTGTATTGATGTCTCACTTATCCCACAACTAGTCTCGCTTACCTTGTAAATGCTTCCTTCGAGATCTTTCACCATGTCTTCGTACATAAGGAACAAAACATTTGGCTCTTCGATCAAAGGAAGCCAACCGAGCAGATGGTCGAAGTAGTCACCGAAGGCGAGTTGTCCAGAAAGGAACAGATCCACGAATGTGTCCCATTCACCATCCGCGAAATTATAGATTTTGAAATTGCGGTTGTGGTGGAAGTAGCTGCAATTGGCAGTGTTTACTTGAGATAGAAGTCTGAAAGAAGTCAAATGGAAGCTACCTGGTGCAACAGTCTTTTGGATTCCTCACGCAGTAGATGTACTTTGCCTTTGTGCTCTTCGGAACGTTTAGGACGGAAAAGTGGGTTTTCAGAATACGAGGGTGAGTGACGGTAGACAAAAACTTTGCCCCCATTCGCTCAATCATCGGGCTCTGGACACACATTTCTGGAACTATAAGTGTTTCACAGATTTGCCTAGAATCAGTCATGCCCCTGCCCTCGTTCAAAGAAAAGGCCTTATGCAGTCAACAGCGTTTCCTGCTCCCTTATACTAGTTTTGAAAACACAATTTTCAACGGGTAATGGGTAACTACAAGACCTGCAACTATTAGAATGCTCTCATGAATCTAGGCAAAGGATCATTTCTTTCTTAAGAAGATCAACACTTACCGTTTCCTTCCTCGGCTCGATAGTCCTCACCACGAAGCAGCTGATGACAGATATGCTGAAGCCAGGTGGTACCACATTTTGGATACGTCGCTATGAAAATATCGTCGTCTTCCACTTGCATCATTTTCGCCGATCTGAAACTCAAGAATTTTTTGAACAACGAAATTGGACGACTGAGGAGAGAGATCGATGCCTTAATAAGCNNNGAAGATACCCGAGCGGTCAAGGGGCTATGTGGCTTGTGAGCAGTCAATTTTGCTGCTGGGAATGTTTGGGATGCCTGATAAAAAAGTTTGCTTATCATCAAGCAGTACAATCAGTAGGTGGAGGGTTTTTTCTTATAGAAGTGTATCTACCTAGCTCGCCCTTTTTCCTCCTACCCACAACTGCTACCTCTTTTCTCGTTACGAGTACGAGTACTCAGCAGCACACTCCCCAAAGACCCAAAATGCCCCTTATTTGAAAAGTCAGAGGCAATTCTTTGAGCGTCCCTCGACCCTGATACTATTATCCGCCTATTGGAAGGGAAAAGATGAGCATGAGTCCGATGAGGCCGACTGCCGTCACTCTGGCTTCAGCCACTGTTGACGACTGGGCACGCAAATTTGCTCTAATTACCATATTGGATACGATATTTAGCACTAGAAGTGATGATTACACAAACATATAAATTACATCCTAAAGCGGTTTACTAGTAGTTAGACCTGAGTATTCATTTCAGTGAGAGGTTTTAAGTGGTTGTTTCAGCCCAGATAAGAGTAGTGGCGCCAAATTGGAATCCTATTCTCCCTGTTTATGTCGCGATAACTGTCCCACGTGGGATGACGAGCCATTTGAAACATGCCGTCATGTTTCATGTTTTTAGAGGTCTGAATAAGCAGAAGCAGTTTGTCACTCACCGAACATGTTGGGGTTTGAAGATCGGGGGCCAGATATCACCATCGATGACAGCTTGCCGTGGATGACCTTCTGGTTGATAGATTACCGGGACATCAGGACCTGAAGAAAAGCTCCAGATGAGTGGAGGAAGAACGGGCAAAGGGAAAAGCTGACCTTTTCTGAAACAAAAATTAGTGTTGTGAAGTTCGAGTGGAGAGCATGGTGTTTTGGGTGTACATGGTGGTGTACGATCACACGACGGCATCTCCGTCTCGTCTAATTTGAGATTCTAAAACAACCAGGGTTTTGATTCATAGGGCAATAGATCCAATCCAGGCTTACCTTAAGGAATGGAGTCATTGTCACGATAATCACGCGACTAGGAAGCTCACAACTCAGTATTGAGTGCGAGTAACTGCATGTAACTACCTAGTAACATCCCTTTTTATACCCTTCTTCGAAGACAGCCACGCCTTAATCGCCCCCACCCCTAGCTGTCTACCCTCATCACGGCTATCCCGCGATCTCCGTCTCTCTGCTTAGGGTATATACGACTACGATACGTGATACGGTATCAATGGGCGTGAAGGTTCACCCTTATCGTGAGGCTCTCTTCAAAAGTACATTTTTATCAAAAATAGTATTCTGTAGGCATTAGCATGGAGTACTGTAGTCCCAGATGCGGTCACCCTGTCTACGAACAATCCTTATTTTAAAAATGCTCTTTGAAAAAACTCACCATATTCGGAGCCATTCTTTGAAGCCTATCACATCATGAAGGGCGGAGACGCTTGAATTATTATCAGACCACAAAGTGATTAAGGTGACGTCAGTGTTTTTGATTACCTTCTGACAGTGAGTAAACTTACAAGCAATCAAATGATTTCGAAGAGAGGATTGTTCTGCTTATAGCGTGTGTTTTGATGTGTAAACACTATTAAAGATAAGGAAAAATTCTTTGGTGCATCTCGTTTTGGTACGCTCTCTGCATTCAACTTCTACTCATAATCGTAGTAATGTTTAGAAGGTGTAGGTGGGAAATGAGAGTGTGGGAAGGGTGGCACCCATCACAATATTGGTGTAACAAGGAATGAACTCAAATGAACTCAATGGTGATAGTGTACCAGTTCCTTACCATTCTCACAATAACACCATACCATCCGGTCTCAAAACAACACCCGTGATAAAAAATAAATTCATATTTTCTCATTCATTTTAGAATATTATTCAGGAACGATCCAAGCCCTTTCCAGTGAGATGGAAGGAAAATGAAAAACAGGAACAGGGAGCCATCAGATACTTACAATCAGAAAAATAAATTTGCAAGTGGAATATGAGATTCGGGAGTATGAATTCATGGAACGCTCATAACTATTACCTCATTCCCATTCCTCTCGGGATGCGCCCATCCATCGACTTCACCCAGAGTGGAGGTGGTTGGAGTTCACCTTCGGCTGATAATGACTCGATTAAAGAATGTGCACTTACTTAAAGGCACAGCTCACGATAATTCCGTGAAAGGCTCCTCAAATATAGTGAAAACTGAGGTTGTACGAGATTACCATGACGGAAATGACATGGAAGAGGTTCTGAACGAGATTTCAGTTGTTACGCGCAAAGAGCTGACTACCTCATGACAAGACTGTCCGGGATTGCCTTTCGCTGTCGTTATGAGCATAACAAGTTTTTGAACTTCCTACATGGAATCCTTTGTGAATGGTTAAGGTTCTACAATGCAGATGGAACTCGTCCACGCATACACACTGTACTATCTTCGGGCTCCTATATGTCTATAGTGCCCTATCTATACCATTTCCCGTCCTGACAATGCCACATATGGTATGAAGGTTGCAAGTTTCGAGATATCCTAGCTCAACAGTGAACCAATTTCATCGTGAACTGAGCCTTCAACCCTTCGACGACAATGGCACCCACTGGTGGGTGCCCCTATGATCGGCGCATGGGACTATGGCACCCCATGTTGGGTGCCACCATGATTTGTTGTTCCTTTGCGGGTTTGAGGCTTATCCAATATCTTCATATTTATCAATAAACAGTATTTATATTCAGTGTGGTCCACGTGAATGACTTCTAAGAGCTTACCAATTACAAACATATATAGTCAATGAGTAGTACTGAAAAAGTTTAGGTACTTCAGCAAGGTTTGTTTACGTCCTGGAAGCATTGGAGGCAGTAACTAGAATCTCTGACTTGCGACTACGTAATCGCGCGTCCTATCTCTTCATCCTTAAGGGCCTTGTTTGTTTTACGGATTCCTACTGCTCACATTCATATCAAAATTTGAACTTACATTGCTTCCAAACCCGAAGTCCAATTCTAATCTCAGTTTTATATAAGTTAAAATAAGATCTGGTGCTTCTGTTATGCGGAAATATTGCAAAATTCGATAAACCAGGGAGATTACTTTTTCCTGGGGAAATGGCACCCACAGGTGGGTGCCAGTCGCGCACAAAGCAGAGGGCGTGGTCCCATGGGCGCTTCCCGCCCAAACGCGCGTTGTCGTCAAAGGGTTAAGGTAGATATACCCCAAAACAATTTTTGACATAGAGCAGCACTTGAAACTACCCCACTTTGCCCGCCTCGCTATGCAAGTACAGTTATGAATCATAAGAAAAATGCTCTCTGTAAGTCTTGAAGTATGGTTGTGAGGGATTAAAAAAAGCTTTATTAGGACATTACTAATTGACAACTACCACCATAATTACGAGATGTGATGGGTTGTGAGTCATGCCCACGTAAGGCTAACTTCGGGATGTCCACTGTACAGCTGTAATTTCGAAGCTAATCCGCCTTAATTACACCCCTCACCTCCCCCCCCCCCCCCCCCCTCTCTATCACCGTCCCGAAAAGTCTTTGTGCTCAAACAAGAGCCTTCTAGAATCCACATTCTCGTCTGAGTATTTTGCCAGATTAACAGGGATACTATGCTGCGGCTGGGTGCCTGTGATGAGCGTACTCTATAGCAGAAATCACAAGTTCTACAACTTTTCAATGACGATTCTGTGTTGTGCATGAAGATGAGTTTATTCGTAGTCTAAATTTGTCGACTAAATGAGGGATGACCGTGTACAAAGTGAAGATAATCTCACTGAGCTACCAATAATTGGCGCCTACGCAACTGACAAGAGAGGAGAGATTACTATTATCGCATTCTGCTAATCCAGAAATCACATCAAGACAGACATACGCCATTTTGAAAGACGTTGTGCAACTTTCTTCAATGTTCAAGTGCCCGTATTATAGTAATGCAGTGAGTTAGCCTATGTAACAGAGCTGGCGGTGAGCAGCACCTCACCAACGCCAAGCAGTCTAGGAGCAAAGTCGAAGGAAGATAAGGTAAACAGACCTGTGGAAGAACCTTATGGACGCTATAATTTCTATTGGAATAGATTGTACAAAGAGTGTTTGATAAGGTTCTCAAAGAAAACAACCAAGTTCAACAGAGAAGAAGGCCAAAGTTAGTTGTGTTATTAGCGTTGTGATGAGTGGTCGCTTTCTCGAAGTTCACCTACTTGCAATAGCCCTTCCTGGATGGCTTGCAGTAGCAGTTCTACTGACTCCTCTTGTTTTGTTTACTTGTAATCGGAAATCAAATGACAAGACCTGGCCTGAAAGGCAGAAAGCAAGTGGTGGTGTGAGTTCTTTTTTTGGCGCTTTCTTAGAGATTTAGAACAGTGTTGACAGTCACTCCATCTGGGCTTCATCGCCATATTTGTGTTCCGTTGTAGGGCGAAAGGAGTTCAAGTGAAGTGGTCGACGGTGATATCGAAATGACTCGTGCTGAACTGAAAATGTACGACTTCTTTTCTTGAAACCAATCAAACGATAGATTGTGCATGAGGGAGTTCGTAGGTCGGACGACTCCGTCGCCTTTCACTTATGCTCATCACTTCCTTACTTGGTCTCACGAAAGGATCCTTTTCAATTTCTCATTGATACTTGAGGAGGGATCTCTATAGATAACAATCTGTTCGAACTTACCCATTGAATGGCATCCACTGATGCTGTTGAAAAATGATAACATTAGTATCAACGATAAAGTTGCTCTCGACGTTTGCCGTCTTCACAAACATCCGCCCATTCTTAAAAATTTTTGAAGATTGGTGCTCCTCAATGTTCGCTAGCAAATGATATAGGAATAGGGTTGGATCGCGATTCCTTGTCGAGTCTCTGATCCTCGATAGTCGCAAGGAATAGTCCTGATTCCAACTTCTTTATATGTGCCGGCTTCATTATTCCTCAGCGAAGCTTAAAGCGAAAGCTTCCCAGTTCCATCTTGAAAATTTCTCGATCTGCTGTTATAACAACAATATTTTGCCTGTCCTCTATCATCTCATCCTGTTATCAGGATTTCTTGACACCCTTCACTTACCTGGATAAGTGACTTTGCTCTGAATCCAGTGAACGGTTGAGTTTCATGGAATCATCCTGTGGTCTTACCATAGTCTTCTGCCAATCTTTCAGTAGCGACTCCGTTCGCGATGTGAGGCCACCAGTAAAATCAGGAAGTTCTCAGCAAGGGAAATTTGAATCCGCGTCTTCTACTGAGCTCATTGTGGTTCCTTTAGGCAAAGCAAAAACGTAAGTATTGTTAGTATAATAGTACAGCTATGGAAAATATGGTCGATGACTATACCGCAAGAAAAAAGACATGACAAGTCAACTGAATATAAGAAGTGACAGTATTGTGAAGCAACGAGACCATGGGAACCTTTACAGTAGCTGACAAAAGCGACGTAGTGGTGATCGTTGAACGAAACCTGACCTCGCGTACCCAGTAAATGTCGTGTGTATCATTGTATTACTGTATTGTATAAGACGGAAGATGGGTTCACACCATTTGCTCCTATCGTCCTTATAAGCCGCTTCGGAACCATGGAACACTGGAAATTGACAGGATCGGTAGTGATGATGCTGCGATCGAAAAATGACATCCATCCTCTGGAGTAAGTGGGCCCGGCAATCATTCAGCCCTAAGTTTCAGGTAGCAGACTGCTTTTGGAAAAACTATCGTATTTGAGAAAATTGAAAGAATTGCATAGCTCGAGGGATCTCTTAGCAGAGCACATCTATCTAACATTTCGGGC